GCACACAAAGAAACCTGAGCGCAACATTTAAACACAAAAGACGAATGTCCCTTCGTGTCCTTCATACACGAGGCCAAATCAGCCAGTTTCTGGTTCACCTTCCTTTATGTAAGCGGATTAAAAGTAAGATTAACAAACTGACAAAAAGTGTGTTAAATGGTAGCTTCTGCTAATTAAAAATTCTGATGGTTCTAAAGCTCTGTTGGTGGCCATCTTGCTTGGTGAGATTTCAAGAAGAGGCTGGTGAAGGCAGGGCACAGGGGACGGAGCCAGCGTGGTTGGCTGGAGCGGCACCAGGGCACGAAGGGGCTTTTAAAAATGAGACATCCCAACAGAAAGAAAACACTCCGTCCCTGTGAGATTTATGTTTTAACACACATATCAACGGCGAGAAACATCTCAGGAAAATAAAAAACTTGCTCTGCTCATTTTAGGGACAGAATTTCTTTACTCAGTTGTTATTTACTGAAGAAGACTCTAACACTTGCACAGTTCACTCCTGTTTGACTATGGTGTCCTCATCCTGGCGCTGGGCTGAACTGGCCACATCCCCTCCTGCATGGTACAAACCACTCTGACAATAAGATGTGGTGAGATTGGAGCCGGCCCGTTTCCATCTGACAAAACACGAAACACGCTGAGCACCGTGCCCATGGCTGGCTGCTCCACCGGCGCTGCCATCCACACTCTGGGCCTTCACGGCACAAGTGCACCTCACACCCAGGGCAAAACACGGTCTCTGGGCACTGAAGAGAAATAAATTTCCTCTTTTTCTCCAGTGGTGTCATCTGCTGGATGGGCGCTACCGCTAGCAGCAGCTTCAGCAGGCCGCTCAGGCCACAGAGGCCACGCAGGCCGCGGGATGGGGCTGAGGCCGCAGCCGCTGGTCAGCGCGGGCAGCCCGGCCCTCGGTGCCCCCTGGATGGCCAGCACAGAGCCCCAGGCTGCCCACAGCAGCAGCAGCAGCAGCAGCAGAGGGGACAAGGGCTGGCCATGCAGAATGTGAGCCCCAGCGCTGCCCCTCTGCAGCCTGGGCCCACTGAGGACAGCAGCAGCCATAGGCCGCACCGCCACAAGGTGCACAGGCAGCAGGTCAAACTTAAGGGGAAATAATGTATTTTTTAAAGAATACACTGCAAAACTGAAACAAACAAAAGACAATCATTGGGTGCCCTCTCACAAGTTTTTCCATTGATATTTTAGTGTGATTTAGGCTTTGTCTTTTTTGTTTTTTAGAGGGCTATAACCTGGCCTCCACCTAAAATGCATAATAAATATCACTACATTTATAGCTCAAATCTGAAGTGACAGGAGAAAGGGAATGAGAAAGAGGCCAGTGCTCTAAGGGTGAAATAACACTGCAGTGTGCACCCCTGTACCCGTAGGGTGCAGAGGGGACGATGTGACAGCATGTCTTGAGGAACATGGGCTGTGCTTCTCGGGATTTGTGGAGCACCTGGCATTTAGAAAGTCACAGCTGTAAGCAAAGCTTCCTCAAAACCCAGAACAAAGAGCTCAATAAGGCCTCCAAATGCCTTGTGCCCAAAAAAAAATCACATGTATCATCACTGACACTCCAGCAAGCTATGGTTAAAACTGTTTTTCCTGACTCTGTCAAAGAAGTCTTTGTCCTGTTATTTGATTGACAATAACCCCTTTGATGAGCCTTAGTGGGTATGAACCAATTCACAAAATACACGAATAAAACTTGAAATGTATTTTGACAAATATAATTGCCCTTCTCTGATACAGGAGAAACACGGAGTGTAGTTGTGATGAAAATGATCTGTAAAAGTTTTAAATCACCGTCTTAAAGAGATTATTAAATAGTATTTTAAACCGCAGTGGGAGTTGGATTTTTCTGCTGACTTGGATTGGCTTTTTTTTCAGAATAATTTTAGTTAAAAGAGTCGAAAGAGTAAGTTCAAAGAAAGTACTTTCAGCCACGTATAAAGCTCTGATTATCACACAGCCCTTAGATTTAAGCTTCACTGCATGCCTTATGATAATCTTTTTTTCCATCAAAAGGCAAATTACAATATTGAATTTACAATCCTTTTTGCCAGTTCTTCATAAGATTCCTTGCGCTGGCAGTCTTTTTTTGGCTGGAATAAGATGTTTCTGCCCATACAACAAATTATTTGCAATGTGCTCAAATTTGTCACCATGGCCAACGTCAACAAACCCCAGCACCATGCCCAAGAGCAGAGAGGGTTTGTTATTGAGTCATTGTTTGAGCGGCCCTGCACGCCATGCAGGGGCTCCGAGGAGTCAATAGATGGCAGTCCATCTCCTAGGAAAGTGACCCAAAATGAATGAAATAACCAACAGCCTCATGAAGGACTGACGGGGAAGGCCGGGTGGTTCCTCACCAGCATTCACAGAAATTAACCAAGAATACTTTACAGGAGGCAAAACACTCAGACAAACTCTGTGGCAGCCCTCTGTGAACGGTGCCAAAATCTGGTGTATTATCACCAAACTGAACGCCCCAGCTCCTCTGCACGTATGTGGACCTGCACAGGTGGGATGCTCGCCATCAAGTTATCAAAATCAGTTTAACTCCAGTGCTTGTGCCCCTGGCTGAAGGGCAGGAAAAGCTCTCCTGTGGCCCCCAACAGCTGGGCAGCCTCTGTGGGCCATGACAGCATCAACACCACTTTTCTGTTAAACCTGGTATTTTTCCTAATGCTGCTCCCCTCTTTGTACCAAAATATGCAATTTTCCTACAACAGGAAAATTGCATGATAATTTCTATGGTGAAATACTACAGTGCTGATATGAGACTAAAAAAACTTGGCTTTTTGTTACAATCCTACAGCTACATATATATATATATATATAATATATCTAAACATAATATATAATTCTAATTCTAATTTAGAAGTTTTGTTTCTTGCCAGAACATTATTTACTTCTGCTCTGCTTCAGGCGCAAAAGAGAAAATTTAAAGGGAATAATAAAACATAAATTGTAAATAATTCAGATAATGCAGATTTTTTTCATTTACTTATTGCAAATATCAGCCATGTCTTTTACCATACAAATTTTTAAATTCCAGGCTTATCCAACTGCCAATGTAACTTTGAGCCAAAGGTACTCTTCCCATGCAAGAAATGAAGGGGTGCAAAGCATTTCCCACATGCCAGAAATGTGTATTATTTGCAGATAAACTGCAATTCACTGCAAAGTAAAAATCTTATTGGAAGTAAAAATTTATTGGAAGGTAGGGCCTGAATCAATACCAATTAATCTGTGAGTGTGCCTATTTGACCACATTTCAAAATGTACCTAGAATGCACCACAAATTTCCAAAGGGGTATTTTTAATAATATGCCCATATTTGTAACCACTACATTTTCAAACAAGAACTTGTTTTGACACCTCCTCTTAGTTTTACTTTACATTAACTGTAAACCCTGAATGCTTTCTAAAAATCCACAGAAATAATTTCCTATCTCAAGATACCTCAAATTTTGTCCTGGCACGGCGCTTGGTCAAGTTTAAGATGCCCCCTGTTTTTTTTTTTTTTTACAGACAAAAATATTTTATAAGTGTTGATGGCAATGCACTTTTTGAGCAATTTTCAATTCAGGCAGATAGGATTAAAATTAAATTACATCTTTTATCTCAGTAAAACCCAGAACACAGGATGTTACTGCACCAAATATTTCTATTTGATTATTAAGTTCCAAGTGTTATAAACATTTCAGAAATTGTTTTTACATGCACCCTTAGGGATTATAATGAAAGACAGCATTTACCTTTTTCCTTCATCCATTTTAAAACCAAACCAAACCAAGACAAACAAAAATACTCAGTGAATGCACCTTTTTTTGGCTTACAATGTTTGGAAAAAAAAAAAAACCAAAACAAAACCAACCAAACCAACAAAAAGTCTTTACCAAATCTGTTTAAAAGTAAATTGTCAGGAAGGGTGGAGGATTTCCAGGGCAGATCTTTGTGTTAAAATCATTATGCACAAAACACAAATGAGAGGTTTAAAGTGCAGATTTCTTCTATTCATTGAATTTTGAAGAAAAAAACAGAAAAAAGAGCATTCCACTGCCATGAAGAGGTGGAGGCACAAATTATAAAGCACATCCCATCTACTGTTTCAGAGGAAAAAACAAAGATCCAAAAAGAAAAGTAGTGGAGAAACTTTTCTACTTTGTTGAGAGCAGAGAACAGGGGTTAATTATCTGTAACAGCGAAATTCGTGTGAGGCCGATCTGGGGAGCAATGAAAAGTTCAGGGGAACAACAAACCCCTGATTTTTTAAAGGTGTTTTTTGTCTGTCAATTTTAGAAATTAATATATTTAAGAACTGTGACACCAATGCAAGAATTTGTTTTTACTGGTTAAATACTGTCCGAGGTTTCACTATTAACCAAATTTGTATGCATTTTGTTGTATTTTTATATCTATTTTACATACGAGGAAAAATCCTAAGTAATAAACTGGTACAGTTTCACAAAGTTTTATTTTCTTGTTTCAGGGATTAACGATCAACTAAGGCAGGCCAAACAAGCAGTCACAGCTAAATCCTCACTAATTATAAATTATCTGCAAAAGTTTAAGAGGTGTTTTTCCTTAAATTCACATCTCCACTCTAACTGAGATTTATTTCACTCATCTAAGAAGAAAGCTTTGTCACACAGAGTGACAAATTACCAGCATCTGGGATATCTGAGATGGGATTACAGCTTCTGCTGTGCACCCCAACTTAAAATTTAACGCTCTTTCCATGTGTAAATGTGGTCACTGAGAGAAGAGAGGCAAAGCACTAATTTAATTATTACAGTATTAAAATGAAAACAGAAGTTTTAAAGATGCTTAAAAAATAGTGACAGTGTTTCATCGCCTTCTTCAGTTCAAAAACTCTTGAGATGTTTATTATCTTCTCAGAGAAGATGCTTATCTATATTTTATGGTCAGCAGTTCACAGAGGAGTAAATAGGTTGGGTGTAGAAGAAAATAAAAAAGGTGTTTCTACTTACTGTTAGGTGATACTGCCTCCATATTTCTGGGCAAGCCTGGAAAATAAAAATATTGATCAGCTAGGAGCATGAAACAAGGTGCTTTACAGCCTGTTGGTTTTGGCATAACACAGTATCCACTGGTGTCGGTCACAGGAAAATAAGAAGCTTAACTGAAAGGGTCTGCATTTCAGCTTCAAAAACCCGGCTAGACAGTTTAATTGAATTTTACACTGGTTTAACACACTCCCTGCCATTGTCAGAAAGCCAGTAACAGTTTTCTCTCTGCCCTTTTTCTCTGAGGGGCAGAAGTTTGGGAGAGCAGTGTGTTCGTGACTGTAGGAAGCATTAATGCTGCAAAACAAACAGGGGCGGATTTAAATTCTACATTTTCTGACATTTTAAATTTACATAACGCTCTAGAAATTAAAGCACAAGGTGCCTTCCTTTCCTGTACGAACAGAAATATTTTATCTTTTTTGTACGTATCTCTTTCCTAATCAAAATATAATTGTTACATGTAATAATCCTCAGCAGCCTCATGTCAGATGAGTTGTAAACAAGAACCATAACAGATTGCTTTAATGTTGCTATTTTTACAATGACTTGCTAGCTTTTTTTTTTTTCACTTTTAATTTTTTTAAATCGCCAGACTTTCATAAAAGTCCTAAGTGCAGCCCTTGGAAAAAAAAAATTCAAGGAGGTTTTTGAGTCACAGAAGTGACACAATTGACCTGAGGGACACACGAGAGAGGGTAAAGAGGAAAACGTGGATCTTTAAAACAAAATCAGAACATGCTGGTGGTCACCAAAGCGCAGATCACTCTCTCAGAGGTTCTTAATGCTTTTACAAAATGTACGATATTTCTCATGGCCCCTGAGGCAAAGACAGACACGGAAATTGTGTCACTTTTTGTCATTTTGGTACACAGCTACTGCAGCGGAGGGCTTTCACTTCTCTTTAGAAATTTACCTTCTTATAAGAACAGCACCGTACTCATTTGAACAATTACTAACTTGGTTTGCGAACCTTCATTTTAAGAAGAGAAAAAGAAATGTAGTATTCCACGGCTTCTCCATAATACGCTGCAGCTGCAATTTCGAACACTGAAGCCTCATGACTACTTGCAAATGAGTACTATTAACACTTCTTTAGATTTTGAATACATTTTTCACTTGTGCCCAAAATCTTGCCTTCTTTTATTTTGATGGAGCATGTTAATAAAAAAAAACAAAAAACACAAACAACAACCAGTATCTCTCAAAATAAAATCCAAGTTTTTGCCAGTCACCCTGTGGCACATACAGTGTGTTTTTCCCAGATGTGATGGAAATGATATTATTTATTATTCATTCCACCAGTAACATAATTGTCTGCAGAAAAATCTACAATCTGTTCTGTGTAATGGTTCAACATTTCTCCTCTTACTCAAATGCTGTGTGTAAATATTTGAGTTTTATATTAATATTTCTATAAAGAAAATGTGTGAAGGACATCACATTCCTCACCGAGGATCTGACAGTTTGAACACACTCAAGCTGTCTTTGAGCACAAACAAAAGGATTTTCCTCCTTCCCTAACTTAGCCAGGGTTCAGAGAGCAACATATAAACACCCTGTAGCCTGTAAAAATATTGTACCAGAGCTCTTAGGGTCTCCCTGAGAGCTGAGGAGGTTTCAGCTGCGCAGGACAGCTGTGCTGGTCCAGCTCAGGGGTAGCAGGCAGTTATTTATACATTAGTTCTGGATACTTTTCGATTACCACAGTGTGCCCGGGCTAATATGGTTGAACAATTGCAATCAGTGAGTTGCGCTATCCTGGCAAAATGCCACTCTGTGCTATGACCTTTACTCACACGGCTGCTATTTAATAATCATCATCCTCATCATCATCAAAATTACTTATTTTTGAATAATTGTTCGGTTGGGCATTTTTTCTGCTCGGGACACAAAGACATCACTTTGAGCAAAAATCTGCAGCTGTGAGTGAGAAGCACAGCTGGCAGAGCTCTCGTCAAACCCTGGAGAGGCGCAGCCCCAGCCCTGCGTGGTGCTGTCCAGAGGTGGGTTTTATCCTCAGGGACCTGCTAAGGCTGAGGCAAAACCAGCACAAGGAGAGGATGAAGCTGGCGAGGGAAGGCTAAGCATATTCCTTCATTCAGGTGGCGGCTTGGGGAAATACTGCTCCAGTGGGGTACAACAGCTGAGGAGGGGTCACTGGTAAACAACAGCTCTTTGGAGATGATGCTTTTAACCAGGAACCTCGTTACTTTGCATTGGCTCAGGGCTGTTGTCTGCATCTGATATCATGGAATGACAAACAGTATGATTAACAATTACTACCAAATACTGGCTCCTCAAATGAGGCAGGGAGGTTTGCTATGGTAGACAGCGTAGCCAGGCAGAACTGCTGCCAAACCCACCATTTTCCTTATTTATTTAAAATAACTTAACCATGAATGGCCCTCCTTTAGAGAAAAGCCCCTGTGGTACCCAGCTACGATGGCAGCGTGATGAACTACATTAAAATAAAATGGCATTTATTTCCTGCCCCAGTGGTCTGACCGTACTCGCATTTAGATATACCAGCACAAAAGGTGCCCACTCCAGAGGGCAGAGGCGTGCGGTGAGGGCAGCGGGCCCGCACATGCCACCACCTCGGGCCACTGCTGTCCCCTAGGCCAGTGCTGTCTCCAGAGCCGTGCCACATCTGTCCCCAAAGCCACCGGTGTGCCCTGACCCACTGCCGTCCCTAGAGCCACGCCTCTGCTGTCCCCAGAGCCATTTCTGTCCCCAGAGCCATTTCTGTCCCCAGAGCCATGCCACTGCTGCCACGGCCCTGTGCGAGGGCAAGGCCTCACTCGTGCCTGAGGCTGACCCTCTGCACGGCGCCATAATGGCAGAATCGAGACTGGGTGCTGCACGTTTTGACCCATATTGAATTTTATCAGGTGCTAATTATTGTTTTACCAGAACAAGGGCTTAATGCATCTGTTGTTTAATTCCCACTTCCCTATTCTCCAATGTGAACATCAAAGAAAATAAAACACTCAATCTCAAACAGCCCCTGACAGCAGACCGGGACTCGAGAGCTCAATAGACGAGGCCCTTGCCACCAGTTCTCATATTTCCACAACAATGAGCAAACACAAAACCGGCACTAAGCGGCCTTTGCTGCTTTCCGCTCCCCTCGGCCGGGCGTCTGCCTCGCGCCGAGGGCCCTCGACGGCGGCGCGGCGGGGCGCGGGCGCGGGCCAAGGATTAGCCCCGCTAACAGGCGAGCGCCGGCCAAAGGCGAGAGCCGAGCCCGCTGTACTGTATTTGGCGTATGAATAACCAAAATGCACGCGCTGACAGGAGACCGGGACGGGCCCGCGGCTCCCCGGGAGAAAATGTAGCTGTGATGAGTGACAGGGCTTTCAGGAAATATGTTCACAATCACAGACAGTGAAGGCCATGACCTAGATCGTTTAAGAGCTTGTCTTGTCAAATTATCAAAAGCTTCTTCGTCTCTGAATAAAGAGTGACATAAGTGAGTGTCAGAAAGCTGCAGGCTGACAAGCCAAGCATACAATAACAGCATGCACGTCACATACTTGCCGAACACCGCCACGGCTAGCGGCAAATCTTAATGAGAGCGCGGCTGGCCCAGGAGACTTGGGTCCCTGCTGGCACAGCTACTCATCTCGCAAAAATCCTTCAGCTCCGAGTCAGTTATGGTCTGACACGACGACTACAATTACTAAACACAACTTTTTAACAGAATCCTCTGGTGCTTTGTCAAAGAGGCAGCGGCTGCTCGGAGCTGCCCCGCCGCAAGCCACCACAATAAAACAAAAGATTTGCCAAAACACACACTTTTCATCACCTCCGCATGGGAACTGCCTCGGAAAACACACAATGCTTCCCTTCAAAGGCGCTCCTGCGCAAGCAGATGTCGAGACCTCTCCCCACGCTGGCAGCGCAGACAGGGGACCGCGGTGTCGCCGTGCCTTTGGTGGCACGGCCGTGTGCTCGCCCTCGGGTGCGTGGGCAGGACACCGGGCAGCTCAGGAGACACAGCACACATGGTGCTCTCTCATCCGGGCCCACGGATGCCAGCTGCCCCCGTGCAATGAGCCCAGCACCTCCAGCTCCAGCCCGGCCCAGCGCAGTGTGCCACAAACAACAAAGGCTGAAGGAACCTGCCCGCAGAGAAGGAGTCAGTGGCAGCATGCACAATCAGAACGTTCTCAGAATATGCCAAGAAGATGCCAGTCGAAGCAACCAGCTGGTTCATGGGAAGGAGCGCTGACAACAGTGGTATTTGGGCATTTGGATGGGGCCATCAGACACAGCGTGGCTGCAGGGCACCAAGCACCTGGGCACTGCTGTCTGCCCGCTGCTGGAGAGCCATCCAGCCCACCAAGCACCGGCATGCTGGTTTCCCGGGCGTACATGGAGACACTGCCCCTCTGCCTGCTTCCTGCAGGTTCATGGAGCCCGTCTCCCAGCCCTGCTGCACACCAACCACAAGGCTCATGACATCCACTGAACTGCCACTGAATCAGTCAAAAGCAGCTCCTCTATGACCCTCCCAAGGAAACCACGCGAGGCCGGGCTGCTTCCAGAACACCTCCAGCCAAGAGGACTCTGCATGCTCTCAGCACCGTTTCAGGAGAAGAGGCTGATCTTGCAGGTCATGAATGTATGACCTTAAAATGGTTTAAGTAACTGTGAATGTTTCCTAAGCAAACAAGGTGAAGCACCTTGAGCTGCCTCACATTCACTTCTGGATCAAAGTGGAAAGTCAGTTTGACAGACTGTGCACAAAGGCCTGTTCTGCACCCTCTATGTTGCAGCAAAGGGGAGTAAGCTTGCTGAGAAGGACAAATTACAATTTCCTTTGAGCATTCAAAGCATTCATAACATGTTTGATAACAAGGAGATTTCCCTTTTTTACAAGGAGTCACATGGGAAAGACAAGGGGCAATAGCTCCAAGTTACTCCTGGGGAGATTTCAGGTGGACACAGGAGAAAATTTTCACGATCACAACAATCGTCTCTTGAGGGAAGTGATGGATTCCACAAAACTGGACACTCTCAGGATTTGTCTGGGCTGTCTTGTGTAGACCATGCTTTTGCCCAGAAATGTTGGCAGTGATGATCAGATGATCCATGAAGTCCCTTTCAACCTGGTGTTGTAGAATTCTGTGATTTCTCTTCCAAGAACTGCTCCTATTTCCTCTGGAGGCAGGGCAGAGCTGCATCCCTCAGCAAGGAGGCTCCAGGTCTGCTGCTGACCACACAGAGTCACCCTGGACTGTCTCTTCTCAACCTGGCTTCTATTGCCAGGTGTACTGGAAGAAATGATGACCCCTGACCACTGTCTCCCATGAGAGATGATTCTGAAGCTCTCTACAGACCATTCCCTCTGTCACCTCCCTTGCAGGCTGAGGAGCTGTGGCCATGCTGAGGGATACACAAGGCAGGGACCAAAGCTTTTCCCAGGCGCTCCTGCTTTCCTGATGATTCCTAATGTTTCAGCAGTTTGGTTTTCTTTTTTACAGCTTGTGAAGACTAAACTGATTTTTTTTGACTAAACTGATTTGAGAATCATATCTCATAACTAGGGTTGGAGTGCTGAACAGTAAGATGCAGAACCTGTTATTCCATATGCCAAGATGGGGTTGTTTTACTTTACATTTATTGCCACTCAATGTCAATTGCCATTTTATAGCGTTCTCCCTCTGACTCTTAGAGTTCTCGGGCAGCTCTGCACAGCTGGCTCACACCACTGACTCTGTAAGTAATTCAGTCTTCTCAGCCACTCTTGTTGCCCCATTGCTGACCTTTTTCCATGTCACACTAGCATATCCCACCTTTATCCTCTTACTCCATGCCCGTTTAGTTTGCGTGAAAGCTTTTGGTCTGGAACTTTGTATAACGCCTTTTGGAATTTGCAGACTATGCCACCTGGATCGTGTTTATACACATGCTTGCCAACCTGCGCCTTTGAAGAACTCCAGAGATCCACGAGAAGTGGGATTTCGTTTACAAAACAGCCCTGAATCACCCCACGTCTACGATGTTTATGCACCCATGCCAACATGCCACCACCATGGTTCTTGCCCCTGGCTTGGTGCACATGTGCAGCTGGCAGTCTGGGACCCCCAGCTCTCCCTGGGACATCCCTACCCGCTGTTCTTGCATTGAAAACTCAGTTATGCACCAAGCACAAGGTGCCTGCTGCCGTGGCCGGGCCGTTTCACCCTCATGCTCCCCTGCAGCTTTTGGGCACACACCCAGACACTGGCTGCTACCCAGTTTTGGTAACAGCCTAGCGCTCACAGATTCGTAGGAACACTCACATTCTCTTCCATCTGACAGACTCTCTGGTGCTCCCCTCCACTAAATAAGGTTTCAGTATGGGAACACCCCTGGTTTTCTTCACTACGGACATCCCAGATGCAAAAAACACCTTGAGGCCATGAGCAGCAACCTTGTCCTGTCCAAGTGTGCCTTTTATGTCTCGACCACCTGTTGGTTTCACAGGCTTTCTGCTCTGGTCTCAGGACAGGTTTACTGTTGGTTTTGATTGCTCTGCTTCTGCTCTGCCACACCATCTCTCTCTCTGAGGACTGGGCAGGTGAGCTCCTGCTCTGATGCCCCAGTATTCACCCAGGTGAATGACACAGGGCTTCACAACTCCCATGCACCACACAAAACTGCCTGGAGTTTTAAAGAACAACTTTTCTGATTAAAGGTGGACCCAAATGAGCAGAAAAAAATATATGCTGTGAGGTTCCTGATAACCTGCATGGCTTAGGTAGGACTTCAATGCTTGTATGATACAGCCCTCATGGCTCTTTAAAGAAAAGGACACCAGTTTATGAAACTCGTATCATAAAATGTGGAAAAGAGAAAAGATGGCAAAGAAAAGATGCTTCATTGCAGTTTGCAATTTTGTCTCACTGCCTATCAGAATGACGGTGCAGAAATGTACAATTCATATTCTTTAAAAGTATTGCGGGCACATTAGCTATAAGCAAAAGTACATCTGGCACACATTCAAATATCATAAGAAATAGCAACTCCTAAATACGCTGGCTGACCTTTGCACATCTCATGTACCACTGTGACATGCTCTTTGACCAAACAGAAAAAATAAAGCCAGGAAGGAGACATTTAGAAAGAGATTAAAATATTTCTGAGTTTCAAAAAAATCCAGTGTTTATGGAATCTCACAGGTGTATTTGAAAACCAAACATATAGGCCATATCTATAGTTAGAAACTGAAGTGTGAATGTATGCCAAAATTATCACAATTTGCCTTTAATTCTTATTTCTGTTTAATTCAAGAGAAAAAAATATCATGAAAGCTTGACTGCTACATATAGGACTGAATTTTGGGGACATATAAGACCATAATAATGTAATACAAGACGAAAGACAGAGACAACTATGTTCGTTCTCCCTTTCGTTTTCTTCTATGTCTTATTTGAGCAGATCTTGTCAAACACAAAGCCTTCAAACTACATCTCTCTAACAGTATTTTCACTGGTTAATATCTGATCCCAGTGAAAGAACCACAGATCTGGTGCATCCTGATGCATCAGAGTGACTCTTTACTCCTTCCCGGTACGCTTGCAGCACTGCGTCTCCTGATTTCAACCTCCCTACCCCTTTCCTTCCCCAGGAAAAAGGACCTTTGTGTCCACTGCTGCTGAACTGAACCAAACTAAAGACCAGGTGTTGACAAGGCTTTGGTTTGTGCTCTTTGAACCATTCTCCATGAAAACGCTGACAGTGTAAAGCAGTGACGAAACACAACACTTCCATATGCTTACACAAATAGGCACTATGTAAAATCAAAGCATCATGAAGAGATTGTAGCCATTGTAAATTCAGTTTTTGACAGACACAGAGCAAACCAGGGCTGGTTTCTGTGCCAAGGGCCATACTCACATCAGCATAGTGGCCCTTCATGTCGCAGCGGTTGCAGTGCTTGTTCCAGTAGGCTCTCTCCAGGCATTCCCTGAAATAGTGCCCGGGCAAGCAGCAGTTGAGGCAGAAACGTGCTGGGCAGCTGTGCTGCAGATGGTCTCTTCCTGCACACAGACAGCACGGGGGAACTTTCTGTGGAGAAACAGAAGCAGAGCCATGTGAAGTGACAGTGTTCCAGTAGATCCTTCAGCCCTGTGGACCCCGCAGGGGCTGTGTCGGGGAGCTGGAGGGGCACTCGCTGCCATCCAGACTCTGCAGCACAAACTCAGCACGTGGAGGGACAAATGTGACACACAGCCAGCCATTCTGAGGCCAAGCCTGCACCTCTGTGAAGCCAGTTTTGCAGTGAGTGAGGGTGTTTGCCCCCAGGGTCGTGTGGGATGTGCTCATTCTGAGTGTCCTCGTGGGTGACAGCCCCAAGGACCAAGGGTTTCACAGATTGCTAAATCCAGGCTGTCGTGCAATGGCTCCCACTTCTTTACAATTTACTGACTGACTTTTAAACCCCTAACCACAGGGCAAACTTTTGGAATATGTGGCATCCATCTCAGCTTAAAGTTAGCACCAGTTTTGTCTTGTCCATGGTTTTTAACACTGTTCTTATCACGGCTCATTATACTTTCTGCTTTCACTTATTTACTAAGGGTGTAGTTCTGATTCAATAGATTCTCCTTGTTGAAAGTACAATTAAAAATATTTTATACTTGCTGACCATTTTACCATATGAAAAAAAAAAAGATGTTTCTGTATGGCATTTGTTTTTTTTTTTTTTCCCTCAGTTTACAGCCACATGGTTTAGTGGAAGTTGTTCCTGCCCATGGCCCATGGGTGGAACGAGTTAATCTTTAAAGTCCCTTCCAACACAAACCATTCAATATGATTCTATATGACATAATTCTGCACGTTTTTCTTTTATAAAAACAATCAAAGCAATGTCAGCACCAAACAGAGTGACACTTTCACACAGTAAACTGACTTTGTGCAAGCTACCCTGCAACTCAGAGCACTGCTTCAAAGAAAGGATAAACCACTGAAACAACTTCTCTAACAGCAAGCACAAAGGTATATTAGGAACAGCTGAATGTTCCAGTGATTTAAGCATTGCATTTACCTTTGGAGTGGGACAGTTCTTGGACAAATGTCCTGGTCTGTGGCAGTTCCTACAGGTGACGTTTTTGTCCGCTCTGTAGTAGCGCATGCTGCTGTGCCGCACGCCCGCGTAGTTGGAGATCTGTGCCTGGTGAAACACAGAGAGAAATGCACTTACCACTTGAGATCCTGTGCTTTGGGAACTGGGAATTAGAAAGGTCACTGCTGGCAGTGATCCAGCGGAAATCTAATGTTTCCCATGTACAATTTACACATCCAGCTTTGGAATGGGTAATTCTGCTACAGAGAAACCTGCATTGTCTGGAAGGAAAGTTCTCATTCGAAATTCTGCTTCAGGACATTCTTTTTTGCTATTTAAAACTTCAGTTGTGAAGCTTTTCCTCAATTAGCCAAGATTTACTCACTGTGCTATGTCACAACAAACTGGAATTTTCTCCAGAACACAAATAAAATGAACATCAATTGCAAATGCAATTACATATTCCCTTGCACACATTAAGGCAAACTGCTTGGACAAGGTACAATGCTATACAAGTCTGGATGAAATCTGCAATTTGCAATTGTAAAGAAAGACTTCAAAAGGAAAAAAAAAAAAAAAAAAAAAGAAGCTGGAAACAACTGTCTCTCTCCCAGTGACCTCACACATACTTTCTGTGTAGGCAGCCAGAATTTAAAATCCTATCTACAACTGTCATTGCCTAGTAAACATCACAGGTTTAAAAAAATGTACATGAAATTTTGGATGAGTGAACAGGAGAGGTATAAAAATACCATTTCTCCTCAGGGAAAGAACTCCTTTCTCCTGTGAGAGGACACTGCCAATCCTCCCATAAAAACAGCACAGAGGGGCTTTTCAATCCCATTTACTTTATTCTGCTTGTTAATAAGCAACGAAATAAAGAATTATAGGAAAATTTGGTTGCATTTACCTCTAAGTCTTTATGAGAGATAGACCAGTTCACATCAATTTCTCCTGAAAAACAAAATTAAAATTAATTATATTTATTTTATATGAATATTTTTCTATAATATATTAAACATGATGATTACTGCAGGTTATTGAACTTGCTACCAGGTTTTAGGTACTGAATGTACTTTAATGTACTAAAGCAGAGAAATTATTTCCATCTTTGGTAAAGGAAAGCAGCTGACCCACTGGGCACCAAATTTGCCTCACCTGAGCATCAGCACAGGTGCAGCTATTGGGAGAAGTTTTTCTGACACCACCCTCTTGTCCTCATCCCTGGGGTTTAAATTCAGGTGGGGATTTAATTCTGCCAGAGGCTTGAGCTCCCAAGACCCTGATTGCAGCCCTTGGAGCTGCCCCTGCCTGCGCTCCAGCTCCAGCCCTGAGGCTGCAGGCGTGGGAGCACAGAGAACAAGAAGTTTCTGCAGAGCCCACACCTTCCCTCCGTGCCAATTCACCAGCCCTGCATCCTGAGTGCTGCACGCCAACCTCAGACACCCAGACTGTAAGCTGAGCAAATCTATTTCCAAACAGCGTTGGTAATGTGTGATAAATCAGGAGGACACACTGAGTTATCAACTGTCACGCCATCACCTTCTCACATGCAGCCTTTGGGCTGGCAGGGGGAAGGAAGTAGAAGGGCAGCACGCTACAGGAGCAGGGGTGCAGCCAGAGCTGCAGGAATGCTGCATGTGCATGCGGCTCAGCGCTGGGGCTGCACACACACAGCTGTGTGCAGTGCTGTGCTGTGTGCTGTGTGCTGCAGGAGGACCCAGCCCAGCACAGGGCCCCGGCCCTCGCAGCCAGCACTGCAGCCTGTGTGCATGGCAATCCTGCATGTCTGCACACCTTTAAGCGCAAGCTGCCCCGTCCTGATCCTGCAGCTCAATCCGAGGCATCCGCGTTACTGACAAAAATCGCATCATCGTCATGATTTACGGACGGCAAAAATGTCTCCAGTTTTGGTTGCACTGTTCATTTCCATTAGAAGGTGGATGACTACAAATTAAAACTGTACCATCTATAATTTTCTGTCTTCATTTCTGGAAGAAGTCAGTAATTTTGGTTGAGGCACGCGATGTAGTGTCGGGACATAAGGCGTGTCACTCAGGCTACTGCTGCTCTTCATCCAGCAGCGCATGTTCCCACCTGAGCAGTGCCCTCAGGTATTTCTGTGCTCAACACTTGCTCCTGCTGCCACCGAGACGTTGCTACTGCACAAAGAGGGCAGTTAATAAAGTGCTGTGAATGAGGAGTGGTGGCACACACAGTGAGCGCCATGCCAGCACTGCAGCAGCGCCGCTGCATCGCACCTGGCACAGGAACGTGGGCACGCTCCAGGGAAAACCAATCCCTGCCAGGCTGATCAGCAAAAGCAAAGAAACGCTGTCATATCTGAGTGCATTATTTATGGCTTAAATGCCTGTTAAGGAAATTAATTCATAAAGAAAAAGGTATTTGTAATTCAAAGCTCTGCCTTGGCAGTTGGCACCGCAAGTGCCGTGTTGCACAGAAATGCACATGCAGAATGGTCACAGATCAAAATTACCAGCGAATTAACTCCTGTTAATCACTAGGCATGTCCTTCCTGAGGGCAAACCAACCAAGTTTCTCTTCTTCACTGTCAAAATCCCCAGCTTCACAGGGGAAAACCATGATACAATGATTCAAATACTCCTAATACAAGAAGCTAAAATTGCTGCACTCAGAAAATAAATATAAGAGCTTTAATGCTGAATGAAATATTACAACAAAATCTCCCTTTACTAAATCTGTTTGGTGATATAAAAGTTAATTCTAATTCACAATAGATTGCAAAAGGCTTTGTTTTCACACACAATAAGTTCTTCAGACTGAAACACCTAGGGAGAGTTTTGCTTCTGCAACCAAGTAGAAATCCTGCTGCAGAGACACATAGAAAAATCTGCAATAGGGCCACGGCCAGCACCCTCTGCAGCTCTCCGTGCTTTTCTAAGGTGGGCACGCTCACAGAAGGTGCATCTCTGTCTGAACGAAGGGCTGTGATGGCTTTGTTCCTGCATTTGCTTTGGTTTTATTTTTACTCTTCAGAATACAGCAGTTCAAACTCTTATTCAGACAATCTCTGACAGGATTTCCCCCCTTTTTCTGTGGAGAAGTTGCACATATGAAACTTATTTAAAGCTTTCTGTGAGTTAAATAAAACCAAGAACATCTGTGATATATTTGTGCTTTTAATCTTCCTTATCTTCATTTGTTAAATGCTATCTCCTTTATAAAATTATATTAATTTCTACACTAAGTTTATTATTAAGATAAATTCCTCTATTATGTTTATATATATTTCTATACTAAAAAAATTACAACAGACTTTCCTGTATAAACTTATTGTATTTATACTTTGAGAAAATGGTGTTGTCAAACTGCAGATCAGGGAGGACGAGGATGTAAAATACACACCATTTATATGAAAATGGAAGCCCTGCACAAGGTTCTCCCTTTATCAAGTACCACATTTTGGCTGTCCTCTGCCCCTGCACAATGGGATGAATGGCGAGCAACAGCTTTGCTTTTATTTAAAGAAAAATTTTGAAAGATCATTGAGATTCACATGTATCCTTCCACCAGCATGAAAATGTAAATTTCTGAGCAGCGCTCAGGGTGAAGCCAGATTTAGGACCACTGTTCAATGTGCATTCAAACCTCCCCTCTTTCATTCCAGACAGGGAGAGGAGGGGAGGAGGGAGAAGGAGGACCAGCAGTCAAAACCTGAAATTGCCCGGGGGAACAATCTGCTTCCGCGGAACAAAACCCTGACTCAGAAGAAACAATGAAGGGTTCACAAAATTTCCTTATCTGCGGCGCTTATCCCGCTCCGAAAACAAACCACTCACCTCCCGAAAGAAGGACGCCAGCGCCCATGGCCCCCTTCCTTCTCATCGCAAAATGCACCACGAGATGGATTTTATTTATTTTGTGTTATGAGCAGCCCCGTAACACAGGACACTTCAAGCTGTGGCACGATGATACATGGGCCTGAAGGGCAAATACATTTCCAAGCTGGGCTTTAAAAATTGGATTTTGACTGCTAATTAATGTAGGATATTACAGAATACAGAACTCTAATTATATTGCACTAAGATCTCCGTGGCAAGGACTGTTTCAGAATATCCCTGAACAATATTTACCATACCAGGACACAGCTTCTGCTGCTAGTGGAAGAGCATTTTAAAATTACAAGCCTTAAACCCCCTAAAAATATCTAGATCTGTAAGAATTTCACAATGTGACATATTACATGCATCTGAAAATTCCTGATTATGTGCGACCCAAGGTGATTCAAGTCTTGGGGTAAGGGAGCTTGCTATAATGAGTTTCACATTTTCTGTGCCCAAGCAGCCGTGCTCCCCAAAGGGAAAGGAAGGACAGGGTGCCAGGGCTCAGCCGGGCACTGTCCTGGAGCAGACCCGGAGATGGCCCTGTCACCCTGGGTCCTGCACAGCACGGCAAGGTGGCACTGCGTGGGCAGGGCACTGTCCGTGTGTCTGTCTGTCTGTGTGTGCGTGTGTGTGTGTGTCTGTGTGTGTGTGTGTCTGTCTGTGTGTCTGTGCGTGGGCAGGGCACTGTCCGTGTGTCTGTGCGTGGGCAGGGCACTGTCCGTGTGTCTGTCTGTGTGTGTGTGTCTGTCTGTGTGTGGGCAGGGCACTCCTGCGCCTGGCACAGGGGCTGCAGGCACAGTTAAATGTGTCTGTGTGTCTGTCCGTGTGTCTGTGTGTGTGTGTGTGTGTGTGTGTGTGTGTGTGTCTGTCTGTCTGTGTGTGTGTCTGTCTGTCTGCCCGTGTGTCTGTGTGTGTGTCTGTGCGTGGGCAGGGCACTGTCCGTGTGTCTGTGTGTGTGTGTCTGTCTGTCTGTGTGTCTGTCTGTCTGTGTGTCTGTGCGTGGGCAGGGCACTCCTGCGCCTGGCACAGGGACTGCAGGCACGGATAAACGTGTCTGTGTGTCTGTCTGTGCGTCTGTCCATGTGTCTGTCTGTGTGTCTGTGTGTCTGTGCGTGGGCAGGGCACTCCTGCACCTGGCACAGGGGCTGCAGGCACGGTTAAATGTGTCTGTATGTCTGTGTGTGTGTGTGTGTGTGTGTGTGTCTGTGCGTGTTGGTGTCTGTGTGTGCGTGGGCAGGGCACTGTCGGTGTGTCTCTGTGTGTGTGTCTGCAGGGGGCTGTCTGTGTGTCTGTCTGTGTGTCTGTGCGTGTCGGTGTCTGTGTCTGTCTCTGTCTGTGTGCGTGTGCAGGGCGCTGTCTGTGTGTCTGTCTGTGTGTGTGTCTGTCTGTGCGTGTTCAGGGCACTGTCCATGCGTCCGGCTGTGTCCGTGTGTCTGTGTGTGTGTCTCTGTGTGCATGCAGGGCGCTGTCCGTGTGTCCGGCCGTGTCCATGCGTCTGTGTGTCTCTGTCTGTGTGCATGCAGGGCGCTGTCCGTGCGTCCCGCCATGCCCGTGTGTCTGTCTCTGTCTATGTTGTCCGTGTGTCTGTCTGTGCATGCCCAGGGCACTGTCCGTGCGTCCGGCCGTGTCTGTGTGTCTGTGTCTGTGCGTGCCCAGGGCACTGTCCGTGCGTCCAGCCATGTCTGTGTGTGTGTCTGTGCGTGCCCAGGGCACTGTCCGTGCGTCCGGCCGTGTCCGTGTGTCTGTGTCTGTGCATGCCCAGGGCACTGTCCGTGCGTCCGGCCGTGTCCGTGTGTCTGTGTGTCTGTGTCTGCGCGTGCCCAGGGCACTGTCCGTGTGTCCGGCCGTGTCCGTGTGTCTGTGTCTGTGCATGCCCAGGGCACTGTCCGTGTGTCCAGCTGTGTCCGTGTGTCTGTGTCTGTGCATGCCCAGGGCACTGTCCGTGTGTCCGGCCGTGTCCGTGTGTCTGTNACCTGAGCAGTGCCCTCAGGTATTTCTGTGCTCAACACTTGCTCCTGCTGCCACCGAGACGTTGCTACTGCCCAAAGAGGGCAGTTAATAAAGTGCTGTGAATGAGGAGTGGTGGCA